TTGCCAAAAGTACTTCGACTGGTGTACCACATTTTCACTGTCTGTGAAACAGAGCTCAGAAAATAACCTTGAATGAGAACAGAATGATTCCAGTCTGCTGGAGAATGTGGGCCTGGGGACAAACTTGCCCTTCTATTACTTGCAAACACTTATAACTGATGCTCACCGAATCACAGAACTTCCCCCCCCGGCCCTTTTTTTTTTTATTTGTTTTAAACACATAAAAGGTAATATATGTGAAAATACAATAATCAGCACTATTCGAAATAAAAACCGAAGAAGACAGGTCACAGTAATTTTTAAGTGTGTTAAGTAAATTACTAATTAATTTGAGGAAACACATCTATAATGAAACGATCATTACATCTATGTATACATATGCCTGGGAACAACATGATCTACAAAATTTAATCATGGTTCACAAACAGCATAGAATGAAAGGCAAAGTAGCAGTATTTAGATGGGTTATATTAAGCTCAGAAAAGAACAACAAACCTATCAAGTCTTAATGGCTCTCAGAAGTACTTACAGAAGCCCTGAAGATACAGTCAAAAGAACAAATCAGTCTAGAGGTTCAGGCAAAGGCTTTAATGAATCTTAAAAGTGCCACTTTAGGTTTTCTAGCAAATTTTGAGAGCTGGGGAAAAAGAACAGTGTTTCATTATAAGTATGGGTAAGATTTTTTGAGCACTTCATTTCTTAGCAATGGGAATCGTCATTTTATCCGTTTTCAAATCACCATGGTACTGTATTGGAAATTTAATATGAGCTGACATTAGTAGGATGCTTCCACTTTTCAGTATTTATTTAGAAAACACTTCAGTTTTTAAAGTAGTGCTGGCATTTTGGTCTAGTAAGTAAAAAGTTTAATTTTTCATTTAGAACAGGTAACTAGTTACATATTAAACCCTTCCTTTTAACAAAACTGAGCAGTATTTGCAACCAAGCAGTTAAGGCTTAGGGAACTTGATTACACCTCATTAGCAAAGCCTCCTTACCTTCATGAAACTTACTTCTTTTGGGGAAGAAAGTCTGGAAATCAATTATAATGAATTTTTACTCTTGAAAGAGCTAGAAGATAGAAAGACAATGTATTCATTGTATCATGCCAAGGCTGACTGAACAAGTCAATTTGAGATAATTCTGTAGTGTGGGCATTGTTTTGCCCTTTACTAGAAAACTAAACCCAGAGGATTCCTGAAGCTGAAAACTTTTCCTGATGAGAAAAAAAGGGTTTTTTTTTTTTACTATCCTTTCCTATCTGCGAGGTGTCTAGCAAACCCCAGTTTTAAAAAAAGTTAAACTCCAATATATACATATTTGTACCCCATACTCTATCCTCACATGTGGTAGCATCACCACAGAGATGAGTAAATACCTTATTGCATTGAAAGACAGACAGAAACCCCATATGAGACTCTATAACCCCTGAATTACTTACAAATGGCTCAGAAAGTGTTTCATATACATTGTATATTTGATTTGTTGCATCCCACTGCCCATAGTAGAGTTCCAAAAGGATCAACACATACTTAGGTAAAAGAAAAAAAGGAAAAATACAATACTGAGGGTAAGTTCCTCACTCTATGCTTGTTTCTCCACATCCTAAATGCTGGAAGTCTCATCCCTTCAGAAAAAACTTGTGGAGCAGATGCTGTAATGAACAGTTCCATAAATTTGGTTACAATTTTTTCCAGCACTAAAGAACTGTAAGTGAATCACTTTACTGTATACAACCAGCCTTGAGAAGGACAGTGTTTTCTGTTTCTTTCTGGGTTTGTGTTTTGGTTTTTTTAGTGTACATTTGCTTTGTCTACATGAAAAAAACACCCAATCATATTTCTACTGGACTTTGATTCACCTGATTCTTTCCAGATGAGACCATCAACAGATATGTTCCAGAATCAGAGCACAACTAACAACTCAGCTGCTACTGAAGGTTTCAATGTAATTCAGCCAGTTCCTTAGAGAAGTCTTAGCTTTCCAAGGCTGTCTGGAGTAAAAGTGTATCTTAGTATGAACATTGAGAGGTACAGGGCAATGAACTTTCTGGAAAGCACATTAAAAAATCCCAAATTTCTTATATAAAAGTGGCTGTACATGTAAAAATATTACTTTTTTGTTTGCAATGTTGTATATTTAATATGAGCCCTGCTAATTAAAGAAACCTGAATTTTAACTACTACAACTTTGCAGTTAAAAACTAAAAAAAACACCCATAGGGACATACTGTGAAGCAATATCTGACAAGTTAGAAGAAAAAAATCTTCCCTAAAATTAATCTCTAACCAGAAAAAGGACCTATGAATATCAGAAAATCATAACAGAGGACTTAACATTAAAACCTGTAAATCTTCGCTATAAATGAACAGAATTCCAAAGTATTCCCTACAGCAAGCTTGTAAGAACAGAGAACATCACATAAATACTTCCCATTCCCACTGATACCATCATCTGCTGTCTAGATTTGAAAAAAAAAGAGAATAACAATTCAGAACTCCTGAGAGCATTCATCTTTTTCCCACCGTAGGGAAGAAATTCATCAACATACAAAACCCTAAGAGCTGACTTAAAAGCACAGGCATGACTGAATTGTGAAATTGATAGAAGAGATTCCATTACCTCATCTCAGTAACACGGGAGGCTAAATGCTCTCTCTACATCCCCTCCACTCCAGGCCTCTCAGGACAATAAACTCTCAGCACAGAAATTAAAATTAAAGAAATAAATACTTGTTGTTGCCACTGCTGCATTAGTATTCTGCAACAACTTGTCCAGTAAATTGGTCTTGCACGCCATCAGTTTACGCCTAGGTTATTTTCAATTCAATTATGAATACATGGGTATCATAATACATATGATTTTTTCTGGTAATTCAATGGAAAAAGTTCACGTGCAGAAACTGTTCTTTTTTCATTAATTGTGCACTAGGTCAACCAGAGAGTTTAAAACCCAGTTAAACAACCAGTGAATACAAAGACTTCAATGGAGAAAATCCACAAACTCAATTAAATCTAAACTGTAAACATGTATAGAATCATAGAATCAACCAGGTTGGAAAAGACCTTTGTGATCATCAAGTCCAACCCTTGATCCAACACTGTTGTGGTTGCCAGACCATGGCACTAAACAACCCCAGCTCCCTCAGCCTCTCCTCACAGGACTTGTGCTATTTACTTGTAGTCTGAAAGACAAATGTTAAAAAAGAGATCATTTCAAACACTTGACTACCACATTACCACACATGTAATAACTTCTTTTTGTAATGTCTTATTACTGGATTGTTTCAAGGAACATAGAACATCTCATTCTTCATAACTTTGCATGACAATCTTTTTTGAAGCATTCACCAGGATGTCAGCCTAATATACTGTAATTGCTATGATAGCTTTCTAGTTACCTCACTGCTCATTTTCCTTCTGTATTTTACACACTGTGAAGGGAAAGTGATTTTTTTCTGCAATGTTTTTACTTGCCATTTCAAAGCACATCAGATCAGACTTTCTATACAAGCAAAAATTTAAGATTAACTTCTGAAAGGCAAAATCTGTCAAAGCACTGAACAAACCACATACACCACTTTAGTTCAAACCAATTACCTTGGCTCAGCTTCCACCAGAGTTTAACACCTCAGGTTTTACAAATCAAACAAGATAAATTCCACAACATAGCTCAAAGTTAACAAAGCTATAAAAATAGCAAAGGCTTGCCCTGAACTTCAGAACATTTATTTCTAAAACATAAACACAAAGCAAGGATGTGATGGCCTAGAGATATGGTAGGTGTCAGGAGAAGACCTCTATCCAGGTTTAAGACTTGCAGTCCACCTGAAGGGGCATTAGATCACTAGCACATGCTTCAGGTCTGTTAAATTTATTCATGTTCCTTCTTGAATTTAAGGAGGACAATAGTTAATGCTATATATATAACCAAATTAATTCTCTATATAACCAAAGCAGACTGGTTTCATAAAACTTGAAAGGATAGCACAAGCCCATTTTGTAACAAGGAAAAAACTTAATATACATGTTAGCAGACTTAACACTCATCAGTAACTCCTGCTGCACAGCTATGGAAATACACACCTGGATTGATATCTGTAAATGATATCTAGGAAACCCATGTAACTATTTACCATGACAAAAACTTGACTGTTTAGCACATAGAAGTGTACCTGGGATCAAGTAGTAGAAAGATTATCTACCAGGAATAATTATTTCCACATAATTAACAGGTATCTGAGCTGTGATTACTACTGTGTGCACAAAAAGTACAACTGAACTGTGACTTCTGAGCCCGATCCAGTACACACTGAGATGTCCTACTTAATGCCAGCTGTGAAATTACAGTTTTGCACTTGCCCTTTTTTCCTCTTTTTTTCCTCATCTTACAGTTTTTACAGTGACAATCTGCCAACAACTTCCCTGAAAGACACATTTAAAGGCATCTAAAAAGTTGCTTCATAAAGCAAGCCTGCTATTTAAAAGACCTAAGCAACTTAATTTTAAAATGCACACCCTAACAGAGATGTTAGAAAACAAATATCGATAGGAAATATATTTAAAAAACAGACTGTAGGGACTTTAATCAGCTTCTGAACTGAATTCTGCAACACAGTGTAACTCTCTCAAATTCTCTTGACAAAACATAAAATACTCAGTATCTTATTGAAGCATTTCCAGCTATGTTCCTCACACAGATTCTCAGAGAAGAGAAGGTACAAGAGAAGAGCTCCTCATGTTTAACTGATTATTGCAATTACCAGGAAAAAGTAAGGATTTCTGACCACAAAGTATTCTAGTCTGAATCTAGACTGTTCCTATGACCAGGGAAGAAGTATTCAATTAGTTGGGATTTTAAGATTAAGATTTTAAGTATTTATTAATATTCAAAAATTTTAACCAAAAATAGCTTTACCCAGTAATACACCATTTACTCTTTACTGTTTACTCTTCACCATAGGTACACAGTGAGATGATAAAAAAGCAACTAGCAAAGACTTTAAAAATATAGTTAAATTTTATTTTTGTTTCCAGTGATAATTAAAATAGGTTTCTTATAATTTCCTTCACTGTTTCAGCTCTCAAATCAGCTGGTGCTCATTGGGGCCACCTCTTCTTCTTTAATCATTAGCGGTACCTCTTCTCCTTTATTCAAGTCTTCTTTTGCTTCCTCATCTGCCACCTCAGGGTGACTGCAAGCAGCATCCTTAGCTGAGAGCTTTTTCATTTTGATGTTTGGCAGTTTCCTCAGATCACCATCCCATTCTCTTAGAAAGTAAAACAAAGTAATGAAAACCAATTAATAACAGAAAGGAAGCAATGGCAGAGTTAATTCACCTTTCCTCAGAAGACACTAACTCAACTGAGACTGCTTTTCTAAATTTTCTTATCAGTCCCACTGTGGTATGAATAAGCACCAAAGATTTCACCTGATTTTGTACACTACAGAACGTGTAATTTCTCTACGAAAAAATAAATTCTTTCAGATTTGACATTCTGAACAAAAAATACATGATTAACTTTATTGCCACAGACTTACTGTACCTTCAGTTACTTCACGGCACCTGCTTTTAGTTTTGTCTCATTCAACTCCCAGTCTGGTAAGCAACAGCAAAGCAGGTTGCAAGAGCTTCTTCATCTGGATGCTTAATTTGCAAATCTAATATGCCACGTACATTATGATTTATGGTAAATGTTAACATATTGAACAACTGACTTCAAGGGGAGACAAAGTGTTAGTAAACATTCATTCACATGGTTAAGTCTGTTATTTCAAAAGGCTGCATGAAGGAGAAAGAGTTATTTAAAATTTAAGTCAAATCCAGTACTCAATTAATAGAATGCTTTCTTAATTATAGTAAGTGCACTTCATGGATAATTTTTCTCAAGGGCAAAGGCAGCATTTGCCAGTTACAAGATGCTTCTTCTATTTGATGTCCCAGGTCAAGAAGTCAATTGTGTATTTATAAACACAGCAGTGTCTCTTCTTGGAGATTTCTGGCTTTATTTTAACATCCTATGACTTGAGGCTACATACCACCCCTGGGAGTTAGTGATATATTACTCCTTGCAATGTAAGCATGCCTAAGCCTTTTTTATCCTTTAAAGTGTTTCATTTGACAGAGCTGTCAGCAAATTTGTTCATTCAATCTCTTACCAGGACATACTCACTTGCTGGCCCGGATGAGCTAGCAGCAAGTTTCACAAGCTTTGCAGCTCCCAAATCTTTTAACTAGATGCAAGTCATTAATTTCCTTACAACTTTCAGCTCCTGTATACACATACCAACACTAGTGTGAACAGCTGAGGTCAGAATTTTAGGTAAAGAGAAAATAATATCGAAGCATGTTGAAAAAAAGATACGTAAATTAGAGAAATGGAATTCTAACTGTTGAATGTAACTCTTTGAATGTTTTAATTTATAACTGTAACCAGTATTTCAGTTGTAACAGCTCAGAAATGCCAAAATAGCAATGCCATACCGACCCCGCTTTTTCAAATGACAAATTCTTTGACAGTTTTGCATAAGTTCTTTTTTTTAATGAAAAAAAGACAACATGTCAACTTCAGAGACACTGTTTTGCATAAACAGGCTAGTAGTGATAATAAAAAGAACTTACCTGAAAAATTTGAGATGCTTTCTGTTCATGATGTCTGGAATTTCTAATAGGAATGAAATTAAGTTCTATTAGATAAGTTACATTATTCAAGTGAGTCTCATTTCACAGAAGGAAATGTGAGCTAAACAGCTGAACGTATTACTTCAGAGGAAATTAGCCCAAGAAAATGAGAATGAGGATTCATATTACAAAGTTTCTAGAGCAATATATAATTAGGAAGACTCTCCGTGCTAAAGAAAAGGAAGTGAACTCTATACCTACAAACTGTTCCAAAATTAAAATGTTACTCAAAATCCAACCCTGCCAAATTAGTAGAAAAGGGTGGCCCATTTCTCTAAACCTACACATCTGAGAAACAGCAAAAAGCACACAAAGTTTCCCTTTAAAAATGTTCAGTGAAGAAATTAGGAACATAAGTTACTATTTTTTCTAAAAGTATAACTAAATTCCTCAACCAAGATCAAGGCCTGTTTTAATAGACATTAATTCACCCACATAATGAAAAGCCCCAATTCTGCTCTGTAAAACTTAATATAAATATGTACAACACATAAAGGATAAAATAAAAAAGCTCAGTTTCAAAACTGACCTAAATATACAAGCCTTACTCTAAATTAATAATTTAGAATAATCAATGAGTAAATTAGTGGTCCATAAGTATTTTGAAATGTTTTTGGAAAAAAATTCAAAGAGCAGCCTAAGTCTCTGGTGCAAACAAGACAGATCAGCAGTACAATTAGAAAAGTCATTCTGGTAATTCAGGTAAGGAAATATAACAAACAGTTAAATACACATCGTAAAATTTACCATGCAGTAGAAGAATATTCATGTGTGTGTATGATTTTAATATATAAACACTGGAAAGAGTACAGTAAGACATTAGGTGTTTAAACAGAACACATTTTAGAATTTAGGATTTTAGAATATAGTCCTCCTTCCTTCTACCTGCAATGAGACAGTCTGAGAACAAAGAACGGCTATTTGATAACAATTAGTCTCACTCCAATGAAATTATAGTTTCCATCGTTAAATACCTGTTCTATGAACAGGGAAACCAGCATTCCATGGTTACTGAAATGCCTATTAAATACTGCAGTAAATGCAACATAACATTTAAAGACACTGTTGGCACCTGTCTCCTCTCAGAAGCCAATGTTCCTCTTGGTTGAACAGAAACAAACATAACAGTTTTAATAACTGAAAGTTTTCAGTCTTCCCCATTAACAGAAATAATTAACATATCCTCACAACAAATCTGTACTGCTTTCGGTAGTAAAAAGAAAGGCAGATATTTGTATCGAGACCTACAGTACAGACCATTTGCCTCCTCCAATAGCCAAAACCTCCCTACTAGGTGTGTAGTTTATCAACTCATGCAGATTTTTACCTAGGATGCCAAAGCTGCTTTGCCTCAGTTCAGCGTCATTCTTTTTTTGGTCAGTCTTGCAGTATTGCAAGTGACCCATGTTTAACATCTTTATTCATTCATGGAGATTTATGCCTTAGAAAGCCTTGAAATCTTTCCACAGTATAAAATACCTCATTACTGTCTATGGACTATTCAGATTTCACAGCCAACCGTTTTCTCAACATGGCAGACACTTTCTACCTCTGTAACATTAAATCCACTTTATTTTAGCTTTTAAAATTGTGGCATTTCAACAACTTTTATACTGTCCTTGAACAAACCCTGAAGATACAGTTCTGCCTTTGTTTATCTATCTTATTTATCATGCTATCAAATGCAGGGCTACAGATGATTTTGCTACAACAAAATGTAGCATGGTGATACCTGTATTACATCTTTGTGGTCAGATGGTCTTTACTATTCAGAAAACTATTCCTTCCTTTCACACTTGTTTATAAAGTTACCAATTGAAGAACAATACTATATGCAAAATGTTTTGGTAACAATTATGCTGATTTCTGTATCCTACTTCTCAGTAAACAGATAAGGTGATACTGCTCACAGCTGAGCAAGGCAAGGCAAGGCAGTATTTACCAAATGCCTTTTTTGTCTGCTGATTCCTTGGTTCTGATACACATCAATGCCACATTACGTTCATACTTTCCAATGAAGCCTTGAAACAAAGATATGGTTGCTCTTGCTTTCTTTGCAGTCCCTTGAACTGCACTCTTGGCAGCACAGTGCCAAACACCGAAACATCCTAACTCTAACAAAAGAAAGAAGTTCTCCCTTTCTCTCAGGTATTTTACAAGGAGCAGCACCATTCTGTTTGCCTCTAGGACAGAGCTTGATGATGTAAACAGTGGGTTTGGCAGAAGTGGCACCATGCTAATTTGGGCCAACTGTCCCAGAAGCAGCCTGAGATTTGTATTTGTTCCTTCTATCAAACCACTGATTCAACAAACAGTTCAGTGTTCTTGTCAGACAAAGCAGGACTAAATGACAAGACTTTCAAATGAAACCTTTTCAATTGACTGTTTTGGCAAAGCACTTACTGCATTTTACCAACTTCTACAGAACCTTTTCCAAAGAGAATATTCTATCAATTTTATCTAGCCTGCCATCCAGGGCCCACGAACATCACGAGGAAGTGGGCATTCAGAAGGGAGAAGATTCTGTGACAAACCAAGATTTGGGACTGAATTGATCTTTACTGCTTTGGCAGTGGCAAAATTTTTAAGCTATGCTATGTGTGTTTGCAATATGTTGCACAATAAAAATCACTGAGCTGCCAGATTAAGAACAGTAGTAGAAACTCTAGTGCCATATGTGTGGAAATCAAATAACTCTACACTGCACAGTAATTGATTCTCTAAATTACGGTGATTTAATAAGACTTGTTTTACTCAGATGCATCTCCTTAGCATAAAACAATGTCATGGGTTTCGCTGCTACTCGTGAACTCCTTCATTTGCTTTAAATTTTGTCACAGGAGCATGTTTTTCTGAATTAAAGATAGAAAAAAAATGGACAACAGACATATGGCACAGGAGTTATGGAAAAGAAATGCAGTCAGTCTTTCGGGGAGCAGATACTTGTATTCCTAAGATGACGTATTCAGCAATTTATGTGCTTTAACAGAATAACAGTGAATAAGTAAGCAGTTTTAATGTTTCTGACCCTTTCAGATAGTTTTAGTTCTCTGTCTTCTGAGGAAGACCAAACAGCCTGTTAAAAAGAAGGAAACTATAGATACTCTTTAGACAAAGAACCATTCAGTTATCTAGTAATGATCATTACAGAAAACAGAAGCTAACAAACAGTACAGTAGTTACATTAGCAGAACATGAAAATGATACAGCTTTCATCTGATTAAATTGATTTCCTTGTAATGAGAAGTCTCAAGAATTAATAAAACTAGTGCGTTTAGTTTTAAAAGCCATTTTTCCTCTAGATTAATATTATGCTTCTAAGAGAACAAGCAAGGTGTTTAGAAGCAAATTATCAAAAAAGTATGATGTTCAGTTGAAATAATTATGATGCTTTTCCACTGAAAGCATGCTAACTCTGAGTTCCAAATAAGTAAATAAATATCTAAGATTTCCTTTCAATAGCTTTGCTATAAACATGTAAGACCTCATTAAAAAAAACCCACTAAATACACATAAATGTAAACATGAGGAAGAAAATTTCAGTAAAATGAATGTAGATTTATTTAAGGAGTAAGTAAACAAGAAGAAGCTGCTAACAAAACTCAACCACCTCACTGATAGAGTAAATGTTCCCTATATAGGAACTGTTTATTTAAAATAGACTAAATTTACTATACTTTTGGATATCTTACCACTTTTATAAACTAATTTTTATTCTTCTATAAAGAATTAATTTTTCATTAAGATATATATTCAATGGGACAAGAGCAAACACCCTCAAGCTATACCCGGGAAAATCTGGGTTGGAAATCAGGAAGAATTTTTTCACTGACAGGACGGTTAAGCATTGGAACAGTCTGCCAAAGGAAGTGGAGTCACCATCCCTCGAAGTGTTCAAGAAACAACTGGACGTGGCAATTAGTGCCATGGTCTAATTTACATGGTGCTGTTCAGTTAAAGATTGGACTCTATGGTCTTGGAGATCTTTTCCAAACCTTAATGATTCTATGATACAGATACACAGCATTAAATTTTAGAAGACTTCCATATATGAAAACAATACATATTATGCAGTCTCTTCATAGAAAATGCACATGCATACAAAAACAACCGAGTTCAAGAACAGCGGGGAAAAAAACCCAACAAATACTAAGTCAATTACAAAAGCTACACTCCCTACCAGCTTCCAGGAATAATAATGAGTTAGAGGCATAAAAGCACTGTTTCCAGCTGATTTCCATTTATGCCCAATCTCTAATTACAGTATTTAGTTGCTATAGTACTTAGCAGCAACTATTTTCTCTGAATGAATACTGTTCTAGACAGAGAGCAAAACCTGCAGCAGCTGTGATAACAAATAATGAATGGTTTGAAAGTGTATTTAATATGTGAAGTTGCACTGTGCTCTCTGAATGCTTTACTTACTAATGCTATAATAACCTCAAATTTTGCCTACAATATTTCTGGATTCTTTGTTATTTCTATGTTGTGCTTGTGCATCTGACATCTTTTTCTCTAGCCCTACCGCTTTTTTCTTTCAACTCTCCACTAAGCAGTATGGAAAAAAAGAACTAAAACTTTAAAAGCCAAAACAAAGAGATTTTCTACAACTATTTGATGACATTCATAGTATCTATTTTCCTATTACTTTTTTCTCCCTCCTTCTAAGAAATCAAAGATTACACATCAAGTCAAACAGATATTCCTGAATTCCTCTGCCTCTGCAGGTTGCACTGCCAAAAATTTAAAGCCATTCATTTTCTTTATTTGTACAATATAAATCAGGGTTTGCTGGTTTTGGCTGGGATAGAGTTAATTTTCTTCACAATAGCTATCACAGGGCTGTGTTTTGGATTTGTGCTGGAAATGGTGCTGATGACACAGAATGTTTTTTTTATTGTTGAGCAGCCCTTGCACAGATCCAAGGCCCTTTCTGCTCTTCACCCTCATCCCACCAGCAAGGAGGATGGGGGTGCATAAGGAGATGTGAGGGCACATGCTGGGACAGCTGACCCCAAATGACCAAAGGGATATTCCATACCATAAGGCATCACGTTCAGCATATAAACATGGGGAAAGAAGGAGGAAGGTGAGACATTCAGAGTGATAGCAAGTGACTGCTATGGGTGACGGAGCCCAGCTGTCTTGGAGCCAGCTGAACACCTGGTCCACAAGTTCCTCACTTTCACTCTTCCAATTCTTTTCCCTATCCCAGTGCAGGGGGAGTGAGCGAGCGGTCAGTGTGGTGCTTAGTGCTGTCTGGGGATAAACCACAACATAGGGTAAAGGGGAATATGACACACAACCTAATTCTTGCTGTGCTTTGTGTCCAAGCCACAGAACAGTGTAGAATTTTCATGTCTTCCATGACATACTTTTACTGTCAGAAGGGCTGATTATGTCTGAATAACACTTTAGCATTAAAGCCAAGTTCATCACTCAACTGCAACATGATTATTGGTTAAAACAAAATACCTTCACTGCTATCTTGCACTTGGCTCTCCTCAAAACAACTCTTTGCTTTTTCCGCTTTCATTATCCCTTTGTCTTTCTCCTCATTTCACCCGATTACAGCTGCTTCCTTTCAGCCTAGTTCCAGCTATCAAATGAAGGTCCAAACAAGACTGCTAACCAGAATTTGTATGCAAGATAGGTGCACTAAATCTCGCTTTACTTTCAAAAATAATGTCTTCCAAAAGAAAAATAAAGATAATGCCTAGAAATTTCGCTTAGATTCCAGCCTTATGAGCAGAAGGTGTGACCACAGAATGATTTCTAATGCTTTTACATACCCATTCCATAGCCCTCATAGAGTTGCCTTTCACGTTCTATTGTCTGCTTGATGACGGTTTCCCGTGAACCATGCTGTCTTCCTTGTCTACCTTTAATACTGTTTTGTAATTCAATCTGCTCCAACTCAGCATTGAATCGACACATATAACTGAAAGAAATAAAATGCATTTATGCTAGATGTAGTCATGCAAAAATTTTGCAAACAGAATTACTTAGATAATCTAGGAAGTTATTTTTACTAATTGTATTTATTTTCTCAATTAGAGATATTTCTTAGACTTGAACGATTACTTTAATCTTCAAAGTGGAATCTCCATTTAGAACTTCATTTAAATCATGCAGCTTCCAGAAGGATTAGGGTTTTTTACTTGCCTTTTTTTTTTTTAAACTCTGTTTGCATAAAACAGAACTCCCTCATTATAATAGTTCACCTGCTTTGGAAGACCAACGTTAAATCTAAGTATTCCTAACTTTTAATTGCTGGATTTCAGCACCTCGTATATTTTAAAGTAAAATTTTTCTTTGGCATATGTTCTGTATCTTTTTGCAAACTTCCAACTCAAATGCAAAAAGAAAGCTTTCACTGCTTTTGCTGTATTACTCATGTTGATGAGCATGGAGAACATGCTGTTCATGAACAGTGTAGAAAATACGTCAGGGCTTCTGAAAGAAAACTGATTTAGTACACCTGGGTGAGAATACATATGTATCTCATGTTATTTAGTTAGCAGGTGAAAAATGGTGGCAAGCCACAGGCACGTATATCCAGCAGCACAAAAACTGAGTCAGATTTTTCTTAGCAGATTCAATTTTCGTAGTTCCTGCCCTACAAATTGACCCACCTTGCTACTGTTTAATCTTGTCAGCAAGGAAAATTAAAGAATGAAGGAGTAAGTAGTATGAAATATGTGCATTCAATTGCCATGGAGTAACAACCAACAAATGCACACCATTACTACTGTTCAAATAATTTAGAGTCCTCCACACACTACAAGCTGGATATACTTAAATAAAAAAACCCACAATACATGACTTATTAATTTTACTGTGAATATATACATCTTTCAATATATAGTAAATGTCAGTAGGAACAAAATCAACTACTTGATATTATTAATAGCAGAATATAAAAAATCCTCCTCTGAGGACTTTACAGATGTTATTTTAAAAACATTATTTTTAAAGACAAATCAAGATTTTTAATCTTGTTTTTAACATCAGTCTTACCTTTCAATGAGTTCACCAGCTTCCTTCTTTGTGTACTCGATTTTGTCGGGGTCAAGGTGACTTTGAAACCATTGCAGTTTTTCTCCTACAAGAATAAACTTAACATTAATGACTGTATCAGAACTGTAGCACCAACACAGATTGAAGTTCCTCAAAGTTTTTTAAATATTTCTCCCCCTCCGCCCCATTTTTCAAGACTTTGAATGGCATTATAGACTCTCTGATACTGTGGGTACCAGGTATGAAGGCAGCTGTACTAGAAACATTCTCACATCATTTCAGATGTATTTTATACCTTCCTTACAGGAAAGAAAAAAAAAAAAAAAAGACATTTACTTGAAATTAGTGTTTAAAATATCACTATATCAATTGCTTAGGAAGGAAACTTAGAAAGAGGAAAAAACCAACACAGTGCCTGAGTAAAAGTTCTGATCATCACCATTTTTAAAGAGATTAAATTGAAAAGGTGCAGTGTCAGTCACACGGAAGAGAAAAATATTCCAGGTGTGTCTCAAAGTTTTGAATTTATATGCTAGCCCAATGTGTTTCTTAACCTACATATATAAGCTTCATTTACTAACAGTGAAAGAAAAGCATGGAGACAAAGTACAATAAACACATGTACACATTTACAAAGAGCTGTTTGGTTTACATTGCCTTGTTGTCATGTACAGTGACCAAAGATTAGGCAACACTCAGCCCCAGATTAAATACTGTATAAATTATTTGAGTTAACATGTCAGGTATTTTAGCATTTTCAACAGTCTATTTGAAGACTGCAGAATCAGATTATAGAGGAAGAAACTATAACTGGACTATCTATGAAGTTGGTAAAGCTTAGAATCTATACTAAGACGCTGTGCAGTGTATTCAGTAATAGAAGTTTCTGCTTACCAATGATACTTAAACGCAAAGCTTTGTCAGTTTTCAACCTAGCAGAGAAAAAACAGGTATGTCAGCCAGGAACAAATGCCATATAGATAATAACCTTTATTTCATTTTCCAAAAATTATTTTTTTTTCAGTCACAATGAAAGTCAAGGTAAAATGTCAAACAGAAATATTTGCCAAATTCTGAACAATGTAAAACTTACTCTGTTTCACCTAAAAGATCTACTTTTTGATAAAACTACTATCTGAAATTTGTCCAGTTTACCTACTATGCTAAACTAAACTGTTGGAAGAAATAAGGACACAAAACTCTCCTCAGATGACAAAAAAAAATTTTCACAAAACTGCATTGTAACAATTTCCTTAAGAATTTCTGATATTCGGTTGGTATGTTAAATGAGTTTGGAGATTTCACTGCACTGCATTCTGGCAATCAAGTATGCAATGTGAAAAATACCATTCTATTATCTAATAAGCTTGTAACCATTAACGTTTGTGTTAAGAAACCAAAATTAACAATTTTATAAAACCCATCTCAAAGCATTTTTTAACTCCACCTCCATCTCTGGCAGGATACTCCAGGCCTTCTGTACTCTACGGGATGTGTGTACACAATTCTGTTCAGGATTCATTCCCATTCTATTTAGCAGTTCTCAAAGAAGACAAGTTTTCTAACAGGTAATACTCTGCCTCATGCTCTTTTGTTGTGAAGGTGTCAGATTCAATCTGCAGCAATGGATGTTGCAGTTTTCTGTTATTTCCAGAAAGGAATTAAATATGAAATTTGTTACTGGAAAAAAAATCTTAGCCATGCAAGTTCAATGTATTCAAGGACCTCTGATAAAACTGAATTTTTATTATTAGTATTAAATAGGAAAATTGATAAAGGATGAAGTAAATCATAACAGATATCACTGACAAAGAACAAGTAATGCCAAAATTCATCACAGTTCAAAACTAATGTGCTCCTTCATTACATTTCCTTTACTCTATAGAATTTACCTGAAGTAACACACAGAAGTCTGTCACCTGTCACAAAAACTGGAATCAAAAGATAAACCCCTCCTTTCCAGAGACAAACACACTTTCGTCACTTGTCCACAAACCTACATTATTAAAATAAAGATTAGCTTTTTCAAGAAGCACTTTAGACCATGTAAAAGCCACATGCACACACAGCATGTGTGAGCTGCTAAGAATTCCACTAATACATTCCAAGAAAAGCCTTTTTACTTCTATAGATGCCCCAGCACCAAGGGGTTTGCAGTTTGGCATACCTGCCAAAAAAACCAAAAAAATAACAAGCCAGTGATTCATTAAAGTATTTTCATTTTAAAACAGAAATTACTCTTGCTTGTGTGGGTTAAAGGACAGACCTGGATAAGACTGTAAAAAAGAAACAAAAAAGAACTTATATTAGGAGTCAGCTATTTGTTTAGAAGCCTTCAATAAAAGCTAGGGCAGGCCCCTTCAGAGGACCTAATGCAGGGAGCTCTGGATAGTAACAGCGACCAAGAAAAGGACACATACTCCACCCAGTGGAACTCCACGCCAGCAGTCCCTGCTGTGAACCCTCCATGGCAACACCGCCAGCCGAGCACCACTGTAAAGCGTTACTATGGAGAAAACTACGATACCATCTAGAAAAGCCGCGTACATAGAATCATGTCACGTATCTATGTTCTAAAACAGTGCATATCACCACCTGCACCTCCTAGGGTCACTAGATCATTTATTTATGAAGGCAGTGAAGTACATAACCACGATTTTCTTCTGGGAGAAAAACCTTCAGTCTCCTGGTGTACACAATTTCAGTAAGAGAAATAACAAATGATGGGCTCGGATGTTGCCTTATTGTACTTTTCACAAAAACCTCACCTCACTGACTGCCAGAAGACAATAGGATTAGCAGGGAGGCTAATCAAATAAGGTGAGTCAAAGAAACTTCCTCTCATCTCCTTCCACACAATGAGTAGTATCTTTCGCTCAAGAGAAAGAGAGAATAAGGACAGGGATACAATCTTGAGACAGGTTGTCATTTTTTGATGATTTTCTCTTCCCTTGGCCTCCCAAAAATCATCTGCTTAGGCACTGAGTATTCATAACAATGATTTGTGGTTTTCTTGATGTCTACTAGGTACTTAAAATCGCCATGCTCCTTCAGCAGCTCTTTATCTCAGATATTGTATTCAATTATTCTACTCTAAATAATAAAAACAAGTAAGTATTTCCCAAATCAGTTTACTCACTATTTTTACCCATAATATCCACACATACAAACACCTTCTATGGTTCTGAAAACTAAGGCAGGCTTTTCATTAAGAAAAAAATAAAATAATTCATGATTGACAGGACATATTTCATTGTTTCAGATTGCTAAATACCTTCCATATTTCTTCATATGCATGTCCACTTTTGTTAGCCTGCTTAAGCATTTTAGAATACTTCCATACGATAATCCCTCTACAAGACTTAAAAAATTTGATTTTTTTTTGCAGTTTATTTTTTCTGTAAACAAAACAAATAATTTTAAAAGCTAACTTTTTTTTTCAGCTCCTCATGAAAAATCTGCAAGACCACCTCACAAAGCATTACTGTTGCAAACAGCACAAGTAGAAGCATAGTGGGGCAAGGAAGATTAAACAAGGTAGACAATGTAAAACCTAAGGAGAATCAAACAAATAGCTCTACAAGGAGGTATTTTAAGGTTACTGCTTATTCCCAAAGGGTCACTCCATGTCCCTCTTTCACTGTGAAAACTCACTAGCTCTCACATTTCAGAGCATGACAGTATTAGACTGGTATACCGGTAATGAAAATCCACAGAGTCCTAAAGAATTTACAACGTACGCATAAGAGAAAGGAGGAAAAACAACAGAAAAAAAAAATCCAGTGCTATATTAGCTTAGGTACCAAATCCTGAAGTGTAGAAAAAGCAGTGTTCTACTGGCACCAGCGAAACAGCTTTTGCTGTCTCATAAAAACATGTCTGTAATTATTTAAGAGAGCAAACAAGTCACCTAAAGGAATAAGGATTTACATGTAGATTAAGAGAGAATAAAGTGGTAGTAATACACTGGAAATTGCTGCTGCTCATTAGACTTTGAAGGAACTGAGAAGGAAGAGGGATGCAGACAGGTAAAAGATGTAATTCAAGTAAACAAGACGTAAGATTGTAGTCAATTTTCTAAAAGCAACTGGTCTGTCTCCTCTTATTACAGTCAAGATTGGTCTTTTGTAGTGCAGCCACAGTTTCTGGACAGTAAGCTTATTACTCCTGTCATATTTCATCAAGAATTGCACTGAACTGTATTGAAGAGTATCTGGACAACGGAGGCTGTAAAAGACTCGTGCAACTTAGTGCAGAATTTCTCCCTCCTTTTACCCAGTGCTGCATTTTAAATATTGAAATTCCTTGTGGATAATGTCTTCCCTTTGTTATTATTTGTTTGGGCAAAACATACTTGAATATGCATTTAATAACTACACGTAATTTTCTTTCATGTTAACATAAATGGGAATATTTACAGTAGTTACTTCTTTCCCTCCAACATATAGAAGAAAGGTTTATAAGCAAATTGAAGTCTAAACTATCTCTAGTCCTGAACCTTGTCTCCAGACAAGAACCAAAGGAAAAATAAACAAAAACCAAAGAAAACTAAACCAACCAAACCCAAAAGAAACAAACCAAACAAAACCAAAGCAAACACTGAGTGATACTTCTACAAAACATTCTCACCCTCCAGTAACATGCCTTTCCAGGGCTTCCTACACCCAAGGTAATACCTCTTCATTGAATAGTAATCAGAGAAATGTTCAAAAAGCATTACTGCACAAATTTAGTCAGCCACAATTAGAGCATTTTCTGGCAAGGAAATCCACAGCTTAATTAAAATAACACAGATAAACTCTATGATCTTCCTAGATTCTCTGATACACTTTTTTCATGTTGCAGAAGTTCACTAGCCTGCACAGAGAAACTATCCCCTTTACTCAGTGCTGGTGTGATCATATCAAGAATATTGCTTCCAGTTTTGGGTCCTACCCACACTTCAGACAACTTATTTCTACATAATAAGAAGCAAGGTCAAAAAGTACCAGATTTGTAAATGGGACTGAGAAAATTCTATAGATTACAAGGCAGTGTCTCCTATTTAGCACCAAAAGATGTATTAACCTTCCAAAGAGAAGCAATTTGGAAAAACGTTGGAAGACGTTTAATAGACCTGCAGAAGCAACACGGATGAACAAAACTGGTGTGGGCTACTTCATTTTCCTGAGTGTAGAAGTGGAAAGCTTTCCTCCATCCACGGCATCAGAAATGTATTTTGTCTTTTTCAGAACTATGCAAAACGAACCCAAACTCCACCATTATATTACAGAAACTGAAAGCTAAGTAATTACACTGAAAGGTTTAACAGATGTTTAACTCCCAGTATTTAAAAAAGAAACCCTGAAAATTTAACAAGCTGATCATTAAGATAATAGAGATTCAAAAGAAACTGGAACCCTTAATACGTCTTTTAATAACACCAGGGGAAAAAGGAAATCAACACTATTCATGTCTTTCAAGTTAAATTGCTCTTCAAGCGAAGATAGTACAAAAAACATAGACAATTGGAGGATGTTTTTAATCCAACTAATTTTTAAATGTATTTTTAGAACACCACAACAAAAGTGATCTATGAAGTGCACATTTGTGAACAACACTAGTTAATTATTTAGGACCCAGAAGTCTAAGATGTAAAAATTTTATTTATAGATAGATCATTTTACTATCGCAGTATGCTTTGGATGGTCCAGACTGACACACTATTCTTGGCAAACTGAGGTTAATGTCACTAAATGGAGGGGGGACCTTGCTAACAGAAGACACAGAGATGACAGAATTACTGAACACTTTCTTTGCATTAGCCTTCATTGACAAGATCAGCCCTTGGGAATCTCTGAACCAGCAGACCGGGGTTAAGGAATGTTGGAAGGAAGAGCTTCCCTTGGTCAAGTAGGACTGGGTTAGAGAACATCTCGGCAAACTTGACATTCACAAATCCATGGGTGCCGATCGGATGTATTCACGAGTGCCGAGAGAGATGGCAGACCCCACAGCTGGTCTGCTTGTGGTCATTTTTGTAATGTCATGGCAATGAGGAGAGGTGCCTGAGGACTGGAAGAAAGCAAATGTCAAACCAGTCTTCAAAAAGGGCAAGAAGGAGGACCCAGGGAACTACCAGCCAATCAGCCTCATTTCAATTCTTGAAAAGGCAATGGAGCACCTCATTCTGGAGAGCACCTGTATCCACAGGGACGACAAGAAGGTGAGCAAGAATAGTCAGCAGAGATTTGCTCAAGGTAAATCATGCTTGACCAACCTGATTGCCTTCTGCCTGGACGGACGAGGGAAGGGCAGTGGGTATTGTCAACCTTGACTTCAGCAAAGCCTTTTAACTTTTTGCTGTTGCAAGAGAAACCAAAAGCTAGCAAAGCCCTCTAACAAGAAACATCAGCACAAGTGTTCATACCAGAATACCTCTAACCACAGTCACTATCACTAAAAGATCTGAGTGTGCCGTGTCATACTGAATAATCAGTACATCACTCGCTTGCTAAGTTTTCTTGTACAAAGTCACACATGCAAGCACTAAGAAACAATCTTTTGTGATTAAGCACTCTGAGTGGCTGTTATGGTGAAAGGTGAGAGAGTTAAGAGAAAAAGTGGTCAGTTTAGCACTAGGAAAATAATCTACAATAAAAACTTAAAATCAACAGTCAGAGAGCACAGTCAAAACATGAAGCAGCAGGGGAAACTTCTTCCACATTAGGAAACTGCCCAATCCTCAACACATGCTATTTGTAAATTCTCACAGCAGCTCTGCTGGAGGCTACATGACACTGCTGTGCTAGTAAAGGGGCCCTTTCTAGTTAAAGCAACCCTACAACTTTGCTCTGGATAAGGTTGTACATCAATCCCAACAATAAAATTACACAGTCTCTGTACCAGGAGTTTCCAATTTAACACCTTCAGACATACAAGTATTTACGATCAGCTCACATGGTCCATCCAGATTTTATACTTTATATGGTTTACATAGTACTGTCCTATACTTTGACAGAAAATGCATTACCTTTAATAATTCTCTAAATAAACAGTCACAGCATAACAACTAGCAAGCTGAGAGAATGTAAATTAAAGGCCAGTCTTCCGAGCTATCTTTTCCCCCTGTGGGAGGGGGAAGTAAAACTTAAAAGCAGAAAACCAAACTTGCCATGGAACAGCAAGAAACCACCAAAGAAGAGTTAACTATTCAGCTTTATTCACAAGTCTCTCTTCTGCAGGAAGGTTTCTGGGTTTTCTTTTCTATAAACTCAGCACTTCAGCAGAAGCAGGATTCAGTTCTTGCTGAACTTGAAGTACAGCCAAAGTAGGTGACTAACCTTCATTTGAAATCACCGGCATCATGCTATTCAGATTATAAAAAGCAAAATACTGCGATAACAAGAAACCTACCTTGTAAGGACAACACACAAAATCAAGCAGCAGAACTATGTACTTTGTAAAAGCTGATTTAATGAATGTAAACCTGTCAGTTCACACTGCCCAGCAGCAGACTGTTATACAGGACTTTCTGTTGTTATATCAGTGTATCAGTCTGCTTTTCACTACCACTGCCCTTCCCCAAACAAAGAGTATCCTCTGTGATATCATTCTTTGGTCTGTACATAGATTTTGCAGTCAACTTACTTTTCTTTCTTTTCCTGTTTGTGTACTTCCCTTGCAAGCTGTGCAGCTTTTCTGCTGTATGGATGGATAACTTTTTTCTCCTGCTTCCCTCCTTGGGTTTTTCGTAGCTTTGGCTGAAAAGAAATCAAAGATACTATAACTAACAAAATCAAGCAAAACTAAAGTAAAGGGAAGATAGGACCATAAATCATGATTAAAACTTAAGAGGTCATGTACCTATGTCCCAGAAAGCACTTCATTTATAGTACCAGGTTATCAGTTCCACCCTCTACAACAAGATTAGCTGAGGTCAGTACACGCTGTAACAAAACTACCAGAGCACAGGAAACGCTGTAAGAAATCTTATATATTGACTACTCTCAAAGTACCTATTTTGTAGGTTGGAAACTAAGATTAGCTCTCTGTACCTTTGCAGTAAATGTCCCAATTCAAGCTTCTATCCGATTGTTGCATCGGGGTTTCTGACAAAGGCCATATGTAATTTGCACAGAATAACGAAAGGGATTTTCTTGCCCCTCCCAAGAGACCATGAGAACGCCTCACCCCAGGGAGCAGCCAGTGGCCTTCCTTTCCTAGCCCTTCGTGGCACATGGAGAGGGAACACTACCCACAAATTGCAAAAATATTGTCACACTACTTCAAGTTACATTACTTTTTGGTGAAAAACTGCCTGAACAGGACTGAAAGGCTTTATGAAACAGTACGCAATTTAACTGCGTGCTAAAGAAAACACACGAAAGCAAGGAGGTTTTTTTTCCTGCGTCGCAACAAATGCCGATCAATAAGCGGGAGACTCTAGTACCTCCTATTCCCCGTGCTCGCATCAGTGCTTTAGGGCCGCGAGAAAAAAAGATTACGTCAAATACAAGGAAAAAAAAAAAAAAAACACAACACAAAACCAAACAAACCACTACCCTGAACTCCCCAGGAATTCTCAAGCGGCGGCAGCTTCCACCGGTTCCCGGGAAGCCGGGCCGGGCCAGAGGGACGAGTATCCATCCCTGCTGGGGGGTTTTAAACGCAAGGCTGGCTCACCACGCCGGTGTCGGTGCACAGCGCCGCCCGCCCCTCACCCAGGGGACCCGCCGCACCCCCGCGGCCTCCCCGGGGACGCGGCGGGGCCGCTCCCGACGGGAAGGAAGGGGCTTAGTGCGCCGCGGGAGAAGCCCCCGCCGGCCCCAGAAGAGGAGGCTGCGGAAGCCCCACTGCTCTCCCTATCCTCATCCCGATCCCTGCCCCGCTCCCGATCCCCATCCCCTCCGCACGCACCATGGCGAGCAACTCCTCTTCCGCCGCCGCGGTGCAGCAGCCTCAGCGCTCCGGGCGGGCGGCGCGGCCGTCCCGCGGCGGGGCCGGGCGGCGCCGGTGCCACCACCTCTGGCGACACCAGCTCCGGTGTCACCAGCCGGTGCCACCAGCTCCGGCGACAATCCCAGGCTGGGTCTGCCCCGCCAACAAAGGTGCGGGCTGGGCCGCCGAGCTGCGCAACACAGCCGGGCCGCTACGCTCCCAGTGCCACGATAAAGGAATAAAGGGTGCTCTTAAAACACAGCACGTACAGGTCTCCCCGGAGTGAAAGGCTGCATTGAGATACCGGGTAACATCTTCCCCGCAGCTGAGGTGGATCGCTAAGAAGTTACCAAAGAAGGGGAAAAACGTAAAAAAAAAAAAAAATTCTTCGCCTCAAAACACTTAAGTTAGGTCCACTTCCGATTTTTACTGCAAATGGCCCCAACCTGGATGAGGTTGACAGATAGGTATCTCGAAAAAAACC